AATAATATTCTTCGTGTTCATCTTGATTTTGAAGTTTTCTTCTGTAAGGAAAGTACAACTTGCTTCGGTCACTGTAAACTGTGGAATGAACAATATTTGGTAGAGAACCACTATTTATACTCTCAAGGAATAGCGAAATGTATCTTTCTTTGTATGGAACAAATATGGAAAAAAAGGTATAGAGATTCCGAGAATTTTATTCATTTCATCTAATGACATATTAACAATAAAATCGAGGAAAGCGGGTGGAAATTTACCTGAAATTTTCCGAAATTAGGGTTTCTACTTACCTACCTTAAGAAAACCGGTCTTCGAATTTTCACAAAAAAACACGTTTTTTACAACATATTTTCTATAAAAATTATAATATTTACGAATAACAATGAATGACTACAAAATATTATTTTGTTTCTTGTTTTTAATCGTTTTTAGAGCACTAAATAATGAATCTAATTTTGCTTTGTACCCTCTAATACCAAAAAAATGTGTAAATAATCGAGTTTATAACTAATTTCAAATTTTCTAAATCACGTGACATAATTTAAATATTTTGATTAAAGCATTAACTCTACAATTTTATAATTTTCTAAACATTTTTCTATAATGACATGAAAACCAGTTCATCCAGTTTAGCACTCAAGAACATGACTTAATTATATTTGTTTAATTATGCAAGAAACGATTTTACGTCAAAATGTTTTTGTTTTTAATAAATAATAAAAATAATTATTTATTTTTTTGTTATTATGGAAGTGTATTAGTTGAAAAACACGGTTTTCTAATTACATAAATATCTTAAAAAAAAACAGTTTTTCAAAAGAAGGTTTTAAAAACCGACAAACTATACGAAACAAGCTTTTACGTTACTTGGAATGTTTTTAAATTATATTTTTCAAAATTGAAAATTTGATTTATTATTATGTATAAATATGTTCATTCGATGTGTAACAAATAGAAAAAGTAACTATAACGTGATATATAATATGAAAATTAAAGTTTAATAAGTTTTGTAATTTGGGGAATTTCTCAAAATTCATTTCTTTAAATTTGTTAATTTTTCATTGTAAAAACAAAAAAAATGTAGCAAGTATTATCTTTATAACGTGTTGCTTAACTATAACATATGTGAAAAAAGTTTAATTAAGGATATTTTTTTATCAATATGTTAAAATTTGCATCTGTATTTATTGAAATTTTTGAATTATTTTGTTGTAAAAAAAGAAGTTTTAATAAGTATTATCTTCATAAAGCGTTTATTAAGCTACTATCCTTGTTACGCATTGCTTAACTATCAAAATATGCAAAAATAAAAGAATGTTAAACTTTAAAAGTTTTTTTATGTTTTGAAGATTTACAATTAATTTTTTCATTTTGTATCGAAATTTGCATTATTATTTATACAAATATATTTATTTCCATGTGACAACGCAAAGTAAAGGAGGAATGATATCATCAATTAAAGAACCATTCTTCTCTAACGTTGCTTAACTATCTGAATAAGTATACATCAAATATGTTTAAAGGAAAGGATTTTTTATTTACACAACTTTAAACATGTTGATTTTTCGACGACGAATCAAAGCAAAACATGTCATGTTGCGTAAATATTAAAATATGTGAAAAATAAAAAGGTGAAAATTAAGATTTTTTGCATTTTATTATAAAGATAGTTAATATTCAAAATTCTATAAAAAAAAATATTAAAAATATATAAAGTGAGGGAACAGAAAAAATTAGGATTGTCATCAAACTTTTGCAATAATATATTTATTTAAACATTTTCATTCTGCATTGCTGCAATAAAAGGTATAACATTAAGACATCTATCCTTTACACACGTTGATTAAATATTAGAAAATTTAAGAAATAAATGTCAATAAATTACATTTTCTTAATTTTGCATTCATATATTTGTTTAAACATGTTTATTCTTTATAGTCGCAATAAAAAGAAAAAGTAATCAGATAATTATGTTAACACGTTATTTTTTTTGTTTATTCAGTGATGCAATAAAGAGAGCAACAATAAAGAAGTCAGTATAATACCTGTATTAAAATATTCGAAAATTGAAAAATGTTTAAATGAAAATAATTTTTAGGTCAAATTATAATCATAGTTCATTAATTTTGCATGAAATACATGAAATTTGTTTTAAAATCACAATCCATTGTAGTTTTAAAAGAAAATAATTAAAGAGATAATCATTTAAAACGTTAAAATTTTTGTATACTATATCATTGGAATTTAAGTTTCAAGATATTAATATTATTGTTTTTAATCCAAAATTTCCCATCAACATATTCAAATATTTTGATAATTCAGAGATGGAGCACAGAGAACAATATGAGAAGATCATCTTTCTAAATAGTACCATCAATAGACTTTGCTTAAAAATCAAAACATTCGAAAATTTAGATTAAAGAATTTTTTAGGATGTTGAATTATATATTTTTTTGCAATACAAATACAAAATATATAGAAAACGAACAATATAAAACTTAAGAAGTAACTGAAAGACTTCCATTTACCATTTATCAATTTGTTTAAGCAAATCATCAACATCCCATTACTTTTTGATTTCTTCGGAATGCTGATTCTTTGGCAAAATAATCCAACTATTATTCTTGTGACGCATTGCTTTATTACTAGCAATAAAATTAAGAAAAACAGGTGGAAATTTACCTGTATTTTTCCGAAACTAGGGTTTCTACACAAACGGACTTTTAACTACAAATGACTACAAACTATTATTTTATTTCTTATTTTTAATCGTTCTTTGAGCATTAAATAATGAATTTATGTTTCCTTCTGTTTGTACTCTTTGATACCAAAAAAGTATAAATAAAGGAGTTTATAATTCATTTCAGATTTCAAATTTTCTAAATCACGTGACATGATTTCTTTTCTTCTGGAACATATTATTACATATTATTCAATATGTTGAAATTTGTATCATTTCTTTATGTTCAATTATTCTTCTCTTACGTTGTTGCTTAACTATCTGAATATGAGCATATTTGATGATGTTTAAAGGAAAGGATTTTTTACTTAGACAAATTTAAACACGTTTATTTGTCGACAACACGACAAATAAAAAAGATATAAGCTAAGATATTCTGCATTTTATTATAAAGAGAGTTAAATATTTAAAATTCTATAAAAAAAATATTATAAATATATAAAGAAACAAACAATATGAACTTAATAACTAAAACTTAAGAAGTAACTGATTGACTTCCATTTACCATTTATGGTAATATTCATCAATTTGTTTAAGCAAATCATCAACATCCCATTCCTTCTTGACTTCTTCGGAATGCTTCTTCTGGAATTTATTCATGAAATCCATATCGACATTGTGCGTATAACACTTCTTCACTTTTCCAGTGTTATGCATCTTATTATAAAAGGAGCTTTCCTGCTTCTCACGAAGAATCATTAACTTCATATTTTGACCATCCAAAATCGTTCCATTCAGTTCCTTGTGAGCCTTAACCGCATGTTCAGTATCCTCGAATTTAATGATCGCCGATCTGAGCGGAAATCCGGTCGCGTCGACGTGCATATCGATGCTGTGAATTTCACCAATTGCTTGAAACACCTTCACCAAATCTAATCTGGTCATGCTAATCGTAAGATTCTGAGCCAAAACTCCTACAATTCTGTTGTCTTCCTTTTCATTTTCCACCTTTTTACCGGTGCTCCTGCTGCTGCAAATGCTGCTGGTGCAAGGTCTTCCACGCTGATTCTCCATCCAGTTGGTGGTTACGATTTTAGAGTTTTCGATAATCTTCTTTGCGTTCATCTTGAAGTGTTGAAGTTGTCTTCTGCAAGGAAAGTACAAGTTGCTTCAGTGAATGTAAGCTGTTGAATGACAATATTTGCTAGTGTATCTCAATTTATACTCCTACAAGGCCTGGTGGGGATTATCAAATTTTCTGGGAATTTTACGAAAGGTCCACAAACTGCAAAAATTCAGAGAATTTTCATACTTAGACTTGTTACCATGGGTGAAAGTGAGCCGAAGAGTTAGTAATTTACTGGTATACCCGTTTTATTGAAAATTTAGATTTGGAATGTTAACTTAATAGAACTAGAACTAAAATTTGCAACATTTATTTAAACATTTTGATTCTTCAGTGATGCAACATACATGACAATAATAAGTAAATCATCTATCCAAGTAATTACCTCAATTCACGTTGGTGAACTAATAAAATATTCGAAAAATTTTAATGAAAATAATTGTTAAATCAAATAATTCAATTTTATTAATTTTCCATTTATATATTAGATTAAACATGATAATTATTTGTAGTCAAAATAAAGAGAAAATAAGATAATCACGATAAAACGTTAATACTTTAGTATATTATGAAATTATCAATGAAATGAAATTTAAATTTGAAAATATTAATATAATTATTTAAAACTAAATATTCCATCAATTTACTGATTGACCTAACGACAACAACATTAGGACATCGTACATCTAAATACTGTCTTGAAACCACATTGCTTAACTATTAAAACTTTCAAAAATGTATATTAAAGCAATTTTTAGGTCGATGAATTGCATATTTTATTTAAATATGTTGATTCTTCGGCAAAACAATCCCATTATTATTCTTGTGACGCATTGCTTAACTATCAAAATTTGCAATTTGATTTCCATTTTAATTTTGTATTCAGTTTACAAAATTTGATTGGATGGATTTATCGAAAGAAGTTAATTTTCCGGTGACAAAGCAAAATAGAAGATATCATTAATCAAAGTACCATTTTTCTCTCACGTTGCTTAACTATCAGAATATGAAGACATCAAATCTGTTTCTGTTCTTTGTTTAAACCATATTGTAAATTTCAAAATGTGTGAAAAATAAAAAAGGTGTAAATTAATATTTTAAGCATTTTATTACAAAGAGAGTTAAATATTTAACTTCTACAAAAAAAAATTCAAAAAATATATAGAAAACGAACAATTAAAACTTAATAGCTAAACGAAAAAAAAAACTTAAAAAATAACTGATTGCCGTCCATTTGCTTCAAAATATACTTTCATCAATCTGATTACACAAAGCATCTACATTTAACTCCCATTCATTCTTGACTTTGGAATGATTCTTCTGGAATCTACTCATAAAGTACATATCGACACTGTAACAATTATTCACTTTTCCGGTCTTGTACAACTTATTACGATTCTCACGGAGAATAGTTAACATCAAACTTTGACCATCCAAACGTGCTGCATTTAGTTCATTGTAAGCCTTAGCCACATCATTGCGATCCTTGAATATAATGTTGGCTGACCCGAGCGGAAATCCGGTCGCGTCGACGTTCATATCGATGCTGTCAATTTCACCAATTTCTTGAAACATCTTCAACAAATCGAATGTGGTCGTCCGTTTCGTAAGATTATGAACCACAATTCCTGCAATTCGACTTCCAGGCTTATTCTCTATTACGTCCATCTCGAAGTTTTGAAGCTATCTTCTACAAAGAAAGTACAAGCTTCAGAAAGAATCTAAGCTGAGGTATGAACAATATTTAGTAGAGCATCACAATTTATACTATCAAGACTTAGAAGAATGATAAAGTTTTCTGCGAATCATAAAAACGAGAAAAAATCAGAGAATTTTCATACTCACATAGTATTTATAGTATTCATCATTAGGGGTGAATGTGGGAGAAACTGTAGACGTTTATCTATTCCATTGAAAATTAAAATTTGCAACATTTATATATTTAAACAGGTTGATTTTTTATTGCTGCAACAAAAAGAACAACATTAACACATCTATCCTGAATATACGTTGCTTAACTATCAAAATATTCTAAAATGCAATAATACAGAGTTGTTTAAACATATTATTTCTTTGTAGTCGCAATGAGATGAAATAATATGGAGAAAATCAAGTTAACACATTAATCCTTTTGTATAGGATTTCAATAAAATTTAGGTTGGAAGATGTTGATTTAATTTTCCAAAATAATCATTTTCCATTCATTTAAATATTTTGATTTTTCAGTTCTGCAACAAAATGAACAATATTAAAACATTATCTATCCAAGCACTAACTGTTTAAGCGCAAATGTAAATAGTGGCAACACCGTGCACAGGCAGCAAAAAGAACGCTAGGCTTGGAGGAGATAAGCACTGTAAAAGATTATTATTCTTTGAGAGTTTAGTTGGGTATAGTTAGATAGTAGTGTAAGGATTGTTATAAGTAAAAATTAACAGCCATCTTTCATCCACCAGATTGATCCTTCGTTCAAAACACTAGCTACAACACGCGTTGCTTAACTATTAAAATATTCGAAAAAAGTCAATCACTGTCCATGAATTTTATTTACTTTATTTTGTACTTATATATTTGTTCAAACTAATTCTTCATGGTGGAAATAAATAACAGAAGTAAGGAGAGAATCAAATACGAATTTTAATCTTTTTTTTTATTTTAATGGAATTTAGGTTTGAAAATTTAATGTTAAACATTTTGATTAGTGTTAAATCAAATAGAAGGACATCATCTACTACAATTTTCCATCAATATTTTCAAACATTTTGATTCTCCAGTTCTGCAACAAAATGAACAACATTAAGACTTCATTTATACAAGAACTAGTCTCAAAGCACTTTCATAAATGAACGAATTTTATTCATATATTTTATTTAACATGTTTCTTCTTTGTAGTTGCAATAAATAAACACGTTAAAACGTAAATCCTTTTGTACTTAGTTTAAAGAAATTTAGGTTTCAAGATGTTCACTTGATTTTTGAGAACTAACATTTTTCGACAACGAAGCAAAGCAAAAGACGGCACGTTGCATAATTATCAAAATATGTGCAAAATAAAAAGATGTGTAAATTAATATTTTCAGTATTTTATTACAGAGTTAAATATTCAAAATTCTATACAAAAAGAAATAAAAAATATATACTAAATGAGCAATTAAAACTTATATATAAAACTTATATAACTTAGATATATCAAAATATGAAGTTAATGATTCTCCGTGAGAAAACATATTATTTCTTTGTAGTAATAATGAGAAGAAAAATATGGATAAAATCAAATTAACACATTAATCCTTTTGTATAGGATTTCAATAAAATTTAGGTTGGAAGATGTTAATTTCATTTTCGATCCAATCACTATCTTGAACACGCGTTGCTTAACTTTCAAAATATTCGAAAACATAAAAAACCTCAATCAGTGTCCATGAATGTTGCATTCATATATTTGTTTAAACATATTCTTTATAGTCCCAACAACTAGAAGAAGTAAGAAGACAATTAGAATAAAATTTTCATCCATTTGTATCAAGTTCTTGTTGTACTATTTATTTAAACATTTTTCAACGTAGTAGACAACAATAATGAAATTATCTATCCAATTAATAACTTCAATACACGTTGTTGAACTAATAAAATATTCGAAAATTTAAAAATCTTTAAATTTTTATGGTTGTTATTTATAGTCCTTATAGAGAGAATAATTAAATACAAATTAAATTTGAAGATATTTATACAGTGGAACCTCGATTAACGAGTTTAATCTGTTCCAAAACTTTCGGTATTTTTACTCGTATAGTGAAACATATTCAAAAATACACATAATATGTGTACACTAGTTTTAAAAATGATGTAGTAGACGCAGAATCTGGGACTTCTCTTCTCATCGTTACTTGTTATGCGAAACGTCGCTCGTTAAGCAAGTCATTTTTCTTACAATTAATTATGCTCGTTAAGCGAAGTTCCACTGTATTTTTTATTATGTTGTTTTGTTGAGTTTGTAGTAATGGTGATTTGTTGCAATAAATGTTATTATTATATTTAATATAATTATTTAACTGTAAAATATTCTATCAATTTACATATTTAACCATTTTGATTAATCAGTGATGAAGCAACGAGAACAACATTATGAAGGTCCACAAATATTTGGGAATTGATAAATATGAGAAAAGCTGCATAAATTCGAAGAATTTTTATTAATTAAATACACAGAACTGACCGGAGCATTTATTACCATTGGTGAAAGTGAGGGAAAAGGGTAGTCAGATTGATAATCTATAAAATTTAGATTTGGAATGTCAATTTGATAGAAAATTAAAATTTATAACAATTTATTATCAAAGAGAACAACATTAGGTCATGATCTATCCAAGTAATAGTTCCAACAAGCGTTGCTTAATTATCAAAATATTATAAAATTTAAAATCAACAAATTATGTTGTCTTAATTTTGCATTAATATATTTATTTAAACTTATTTGTGTTTTACAGTCGTTATAAAGAAAAGAAGTAAAGAGATAATCAAATTTAATTGTAATAAAAATGACTAATTATTATTTATAATTAAGTATTTTAATTATTTTTTTCAAATGTGTGCAGTCAGTAATACATATTAAAAATTCTATAAAAAAAAAATTCAAAAAAAAATATAGAAAACAAATAATATAAACTTAATGACTAAACGAAGAAAAACTTAAGAAGTAACTGAAAGACTTCCATTTACCAACAAATCATCAACATCCCATTCCTTCTTGACTTTGAAATTCTTCTTCTGGAATCTATTCATGAAATCCATACCGACATTGTGCGTGTAACACTTCTTGACTTTTCCAGCGTTATTCATCTTACTATAAAAAGAGCTCTCCCGCTTTTTACGGATAATCATTAACTTCATATTTTGACCATCCAAAATCGTTTCATTCAGTTCCTTGTGAGCCTTAACCGCATTTTCAGGATCCTCGAATTTAATGTTCGCCGATCCGAGCGGAAATCCGGTCGCGTCGACGTGCATATCGATGCTGTGAATTTCACCAATTGCTTGAAACACCTTCACCAAATCTAATCTGGTCATACGAATCGTAAGATTCTGAGCCAAAACTCCTATAATTCTGTTGTCTTCCTTTTCATCTTCCACCTTTTTACCGCTGCTACTGCTGTTGATACTGCTGTTAGGTCTTCCACGCTCATTTGCTATCCAGTTGGCGGTTACGATTTTAGAGTTTTCGATAATCTTTGTGTTAATCTTGAAGTTTTTAAGTTGTCTTCTGCAAGGAATCTGTTTACACAAAGCGTCTACATCTAACTCACATTCATTATTGTCATTGGAATGATTATTCTGGGATCTACTCATGAAGTGCATATCGACACTGTGTGAGTAACAATTGTTCACTTCTTCGGTCTTGTGCAACTTATTACAATTCTCGCGGAGAATCGTTAACATCAAACATTGTCCATCCAAACGTGCTGCATTTAGTTCCTTATGAGCCTTAGCCGCATCATTGCGATCTTTGAATATAATATTGGCCGAACCGAGCGGAAATCCGGTCGCGTCGACGTTCATATCGATGCTGTCAATTTCACCAATTTCTTGAAACATCTTCATCAAATCTAATGTGGTCGTCTGATTTGTAAGATTATGAACCACAATTCCTACAATTCGATTTCTAGGCTCATTCTCTGTCCAGTTGGCGGTTTCCTTTGAGTTTTCGATAATATCCTTTGCGTCCATCTTGAAGTTTTACAGATATCTTCTGCAAAGAAAGTACAAGTTGCTTCAGTGAATATAAGTTGAGGAATGACCAATTTTTGGTAGAGCAACACAATTTATACCATCAAGACAAGACATAGCAGAATGGTAAAGTTTTCTGCGAATCATAAAAACGAGAAACTGTAGACATTTACAGGTATACCTTTTTTAATGACAATTTATAAAATGTATGTTTGGAATGTCTATTTGATTGAATATTAATATTTGCAACATTTATATATTTAAACAGGTTTATTTTTTATTGCTGCAACAAAAATAATAACATTAACACATCTATCCAATTACTATCCTGAATACACTATTGCTTAACTATCAAAATATTTTAAAATGCAACAGTAAAGAGTTGTTAAAACATATTATTTCTTTGTAGTCATAATGAGAAGAAAAAATATGGATAAAATCAAGTTAACACATAAATCCTTTTGTATAGGATTTCAAAAAAAATTAGGTTGGAAGATGTTAATTTAATTTTCGAAAATTAAAAATTTCCATTAATTTATTAATTTAAACATGATCTATCCAAGCACTATCTTGAACACGCCTTGCTTAACTTTCAAAATATTCGAAAACATAAAAAACCTCAATCAATGTCCATGAATGTTGTATTCATATATTTGTTTAAACATATTCTTTATAGTCCCAATAACTAGAAGATGTAAGGAGACAATTAAAATAAAATTTTCATCCATTTGTAAAGAATGGAATTTATGTTTAAAATGGTAATTTCAAGTTCTTGTTGTACTATTTATTTAAACATTTTCCAACAAAGTAGACAACAATAATAAAATCATCTATCCAATTAATAACCTCAATACACGTTGTTGAACTAATAAAATATTCGAAAATTTAAAAAGCTTTAAATTTTTATGGTTTTTATTTATAGTCCTTATAAAGAGAATAATTAAATACATAATCACGTTAAAATGTTAATCTTTTTGTATATTATGTGAAAGCAATTTAAATTTGAAGATATTTATACAGTGGAACCTCGATCAACGAGTTTAATCTGTTCCAAAACTTTCGGTATTTTTACTCGTATAGTGAAACATATTCAAAAATACACATAATATGTGTACACTAGTTTTAAAAATGATGTAGCAGATGCACAATCTGAGACTTCTCTTCTCATCGTCACTCGTTATGCGAAACGTCGCTCGTTAAGCAAGTCATTTTTCTTACAATTAATTTTGCTCGTTAAGCGAAGTTCCATTGTATTTTTTTATTATGTTGTTTTGTTTTGAGTTGGAAGTAATGGTGATTTGTTGCAATAAATGTTATTATTATATTTAATATAATTATTTAAAAGTAAAATATTATATCAATTTACATATTTAACCATTTTGATTATTCAGTGATGAAGCAACGAGAATAACATTATAAAGGTCCACAAATATTTGGGAATTGATAATAAT